TAAAGTGCTAAGATTTCTTGATGAACGTAGACTTCTTTTTGAGGATGAACCACATTATTTTTGTGTCTATGTGTCTCTCTCGGATTTTACATGAAGAATTGGTATCATCGCGTTGATGCTCAAGTTTCTTGATAAATCGTAGCATAGTTGAGCATATGGAGAAAGGATAAAGCGTGCGCGAATTCTGCATTTGTGGCGAGACCAAGGTGCGGAGGCAGGCTCTTTTTCTGAAGCGTGCTCATGCAAAGAGCAAAAAATTGAACAAACATTGAGCGATACCCCGCTCAGATTGATTGCAAGGTGTGTCCGGAGAGATGGCATGGTCGAGTGGTGTGTGGCGGAACATCTCTACCCGCCGCGTGGCCTTACTGATCGGTGGCCAAATCGGCCCACGCTCAGACCTACGCGGTGCGCCAACCGTGTGGATGAGCACTGACAAGGAACGGAGCACCGAAGGTTCAAACAGTGCAGTCTATTACCTGTCGGGCTTAACGTGATTGCTTAAGCAAAAATAGTAGATTGGGCCAACCACAGTCGGTCGAGGCAACTGTGGTTGGTAGGCAACTGCGGTATACAAGCAAACCATGGTCGGCGAGGCAACCACGGTAGATGGATTACAGTCGGTCGGGGAACCATGGTTAGCGGAGCAACCACGGTCAACGAGCACTTGATGATGACGTCTGATAGTCAACAGTCAGTCACGGACACGATGATGGTCAATTGCCGGCAACCGTTGCGGGCAACCGAAATGGTTAGTCACGAGCGCAATTAGTCGTGGTCGACGGTTTCGGTAAGTCGCGGGCGCAGCTAGTTACAGACGACGATGATGGCTGGTCGCGGGCACAATGCAATCATGATTGCAAGTGCGGACAACACCTGATGATTAGAGTAGTGCTTTAGCAAAAGCAATGTTATAGGCCGAGAGACTGTAAGGATCTTGTCAGCATAGATGTGTATTCCATATCATTGAAAGAGTGAAAGAGTTCTTAGGATCTCTGTGTTGACAATGGAAAGTCCTTGCGTACAGATATATGCGAGAGGGGAGGGGGATTGTTACCTCTGTATATTATCACTCTATCTTGTTATGGCTATGGCTTGGTTTCTAGTTAACTCTCGTTTAAAGAAGACCTTGTGTTAGATTTCCATCTAGAACTTTCCGCGGAGTAATAACATAGATTAGAGAGATTACTTAGATTCCTTAACATGAGTCTAAGGGGAGATTGTTGAGTTACCTCTGTACATTATTACTCCGCAAGAATAATTATGTACGTTATGGAGGTTATTTTTTTTAACGTGAGTTAAGGGGGAAATTATTGAGATTAACTCTAGTTAAGTAGTAACCTCAATACCTAGTTATTTATAACTAGGACGGTCGCTTGGATTGGAGTTAAATACCATGGCTTTTGCCATGTATAATGAACTAGAGTAAAGTGCAAAGTGTTCTTTCTGGACATAGCTCTCTTTTTGAGGATGAACCACATTATTTTTGTGACGATGTGTCTCTCTTGAGTTGTACACGAAGACATTTTGTGGATTCAAAAAATATAACATTTATTGAATATTCTACTCATAAGCAATTTCTAACAAAATATTATCATTTTTTCCCAAAAATATGTTTTTTTATCTAAAATGTGAATGTGGATTTTCAAAAATATAATTAAAATAATAATTTATATCTTAAAAATTTAATTTAATTTAATTCATGCTTGTGTTTACATACAAAATAATATCAAATCTTTGATTTTATTCTTACTATGGGTTTTTTGAATGGAAAATTGTAGTTAAAGACATTTCTATAATATTTACAAGCTTAAAAAAATCAAGTTTAAAATCAAGTGTCTAAGTAAGCAATATTTTAAGTGTGGAGATTTAGACAATTTTTAAGCATCTTAAGTTATGATTTATTAAACACCAGCATGTAAAAAATTTACATGCAATTTTTTCTACTGAAATAACAAAAATGTCACTATTTTTACGTAATAATTTCAAATTTTTAACATTTATAAAGAATAATTTCAAATTATTTGCAAGATATAAAATGAAATTTATTTTTATGTAAATACATGTTTAAAATTTTAAAATAATGATAATTATATAATTAATTAAATTATCATTTTCAAAATAAACAAATCATATTATATTAGTTCAGTCTAAAATTAATGTTTATCCAATGTTATATTTATCTCTAATTGGTCAAAATAAAAGCAAAATTTATTGAAGACAAGAAACTGTTTCATTCCATTGATTTATATTGGATTATAAATAGTTTAAATGGAAGAAACTTATGTGTTTTTATAATAAAATTTTTTTAATCTAAAACAACACGTGAACAAATTTATTTGTACAAATCATATATAGAATTTTTATATTAATCTGCTGGTTGAGAGTAATACATTGGCATTTTGTATGCTTGTTTTATAAAAATTGAGTTAATTAGTTAATATGTTTGTTAAGAGCAACATGATAGCAGTACTTCTGGTTTTTAGAAAAAGATTGACATTGTAAACTGAGAATAACAAGCGAACATATTCATGATTGGTGTGATATTTGTAATATTATTAATCAGTCATGAATTTGGATATGATCGTGAGTTTATCTCAAAAAAATGTATTTTAAAATATATAAAAGAATATAAAAAACGAATAATATTTGTAAGTAATTGATTGGAAATTAGTTTTCTCTTGATGTATACATAAACAAATTATTTTTGTATTGTTTTCAAAAATATTGAAGCAATTTCACAAATACAAATATTTTTGTGTTTCACTTTGTTTTTTTTTTCAAAATCTCACATATATATTGGGAAATATTCATTTTATGATATTTTATTATTAATAAATTTTGAATTCTTCTTTGATATATTTCGAAAAATCAAATGAATATAACAAAACATACAAATGTAGTGTTCATTCCATAATCTTTGAACAACTAAGCATCCAATTTAAATATAGTTGAAAGCTTTCGATGGCATCCAAAGGCATCCAATGATTTTTCCAATATTGGTTTTGAAAATATTTGTTTTCAACAATGAATGATGAATGACATTGATATCATGTAATAATTTATTAATTCATAATTTTGGATTACATTAAAGAAACTAACATAACTTTATAAATCATTGTATTATCAAACTAAATTTTCATCATAAGCATAAATCAATCTTTAATGATATTTATATAAGTACTAGACATTTCATGTATTTTCACTTGAATTTCAATATAAGTTCAGTCTTTATATTTTCTTAAAGAGTCATATTTCTTATTTTTTATAAGTATGGAATTTATTACTATAAATATTCAAATAAAAAATATAAATATGATTAACAAAAGAATTATTAGAAAAATTTACCCGATTTTTTTTAATTCAATTTTTTGTAACTAGAATTTTCTTATTTTCCTTGCTTTAAGTATTTTTACAAAATGATAATTTCAAAACAAATACATTTCATGATGTACATATACACAAATATGAATGAGTGTTTATACAATTAATACATGACATTATTTCCGGAATGGAATTCAAAAAATTACATGTTTCATGATCATATTCATGTTGATTAATGGAAAGATTTGACTAAAACATACAATTTTTATTCAAAAGGTTAAATAAAAAAAAAGATTCCATGTTTGTTGTTCAAAATTAGAATTTGTGGGTTCATCATGTTTTTAACATAAATATTATTCTTAGATATTAAAATTCATGCAGAATAATTTTTTATTTATTTATCATACATAAATATTATTATTATTATATGAGTATATTTTATTTTTGGATTTAATTTTAATTTAAATCATCAATCTTAAATGTTATCGCATTCACCAACATAATATTTTAGCTTTGGGTTTATAATTGATCAATTTTTAAATATAAATTTATGTTTGATTAAATTGATATTCTATTTGTGTATCATAGTTGCATCAAATAACATGCAAACGTTTTGACTTGAAGATTTTTGAAGTAAAAAAGAACTCTTCATTTAGTTTTAGTTTATAGAAATATGAAACTTAATTGATATAAATTTGGCAATCAATGTCAAAAATATCATTAATTTAAATTAGTTCACTTATAAATTTGAAGTTTTTTTATCATGAAATCATACATGGATGATGTTTTCATGGTGATTTCACAATTAGGTGTAATTTAATCCGGGCATGTAATACCCGTTTGATGTTTTCACAATTAGGTGTAATTTGTACCACCATGTTTAAAATTCAATTATGTGTATTCTTAATAACCACATCTTTGTCTAAAAATATTGATCACTCTAAACCAAAGATAAAATTTCTAGAAAATCTCTTTAATTGCAAAACATTTGAAGTTATTCTAAATCGAGATTTGAAATGAAATATTTTGTCCTTTCGCAATCCAATATTATTATGAAAATCCAGATTCGAACTATTATAAATGACAAATATAGGCGAAAATGAAGACTTCGGATTGATTGATTCGAAATATTGTGTGTATTTGTGCTTGTTTTTCAATTTACGTATACATATATGCGTTTTTCTCCGACTTTACTATCTAGATGAGGCTTTTACTAAATAACATAGACATCTGAAGTAAATTTAATATTCTTATCAACTTCATAACTATTTAAGTTCAAATTTTTGAATCTATCTCGTGTCTTTCCTTTCTTCAGTTTATCCATACCATTAGTATCCTAATAAAAAATTGATTCCAAGCGGGTTGGGAGACAACTTTTGCTTGAATGTCTTCGATCGTCATACTAAACGACAATCGACGTACATAATATCCGATCGCAAAAGAACAACAAGCCGCCAAGTTCATGAAACGTGGACTGGACGTGCGTTTATTGAGAAGTTGCGTGACCTTGGCCCTCCATACATCTGCAAGCCATGACACAAGTCAGCACTGCGGCAGCAAGCGGCCGCAAAGCTGCAAGCCGCAGACGGAAACATGGCAAGATTCGATGACGAGGACGGTCCCCCATGCCGTGGAGAAGCTCCCTCAATTCGAATGGCTCGCTCGCTCGCTCAGTCGTAACAAAGAAGAAGAAGGAGGTGCAGGTCTCTCACAGGAGTTGGGAGAGGGGGAGGGGCAGGGAAGGAGGTCGCAGGTCACGCGGGCGGGATGACGATGACGATGCTGGGACACATGGGAAGTCGATCGATCAGGGAGCCGATCGGCTGTTCACTGTGGACCGACACGGCATGTGAGTTTGTCCAGCCCTGATCCTCTGTTCTGTTCTGATCCCTTGCCCAGTCGCGTATAAGCGCTGCATCGCAGTGCAGAATGGTGAAACGAAGCTGCGGCAGGTCGAGACGTCCTGCTTTTGCGACTGACTTTGTCTCCTCGGTCGTGCAATTGCTCATCAGTCAGTTCTTTCGTCTTCCCCTATCGTCGCCCTCTCTGTCTGCTGTCTTACAGACCGTTTCTCCTGTGCAGAGCCCAGTGGGTGAATGATTGAGTGGGTGATTGTGTGCTCGATGTAATGAGTGCGAGCTGAGTGTGTCGATTATTGATTTTGCTACTGTTTTCTGGTCCCTCGACCGGAGCTGCATTTACGGTCCCTCACTTGTGCGAGACGTAATTTCCTACACTCCTTCTAACCCAGTGTGTTCATTCTAGTTCTATGTCCTCCCTGTGGCTGCTGCGTATCGAAGATCGCTGCTACACTATTTGCAGCTCTGGAAAGTTACTCCCACATGTGCCAGTAATCATTACCCCGGGGCTTAGTTATTGCGCCTGCTCAATGTTTCAAGAAGCTTGCTCTTTGCCGTCTAGTCTCTCCTCGAAAGAATTACGGTGGAAGGAAGATAATTGAGCAACAGGCATCTTCACAAAACATTTTGCATGTCTTTCATACAATGTATGACGGAGCTGGCCTGAACTTGAGTAATGCGCACGCATATGCTTGCTTACCTTAGTGACTGAGCGACGGTCCGTCCGGCACCCGTGAAGTAATAGTAGTAAGTGCTACTAACGCTCCTTGTCATAGGAGTTGATACGGTCGCGAAGTCGGGTAAACACGAAGAGTCGCAGTTGCGAGGGCAACCTATTGGGAGATTCCTTTACTGTAGAAAATGGCTGTACATTTCTCCGTAAATGATAATCTCTCTGGCCCTTCTTTGATTTCTTCTAGCTGTAATTTTCTCATCAATGGAAAGCAAACGCCATTGGAAATCTGTCATCAGGCGATGCCCAGTCGATGACATGCACCGAGACTTTGGTTGAGCTGTCTATTCAAGACTAGATGTTGCCAATTGAGCACGTAGATAAGAGGCCAACTTCTAAATGTGTTTCTAAATCTTAGTATACCGGACATGACATTTGTACACATATTCCAGGAACTTTAACGAAGTAGATTTTCTCTCACACAGAAGGACTTTATTTATGAACGTACGTTAAATGACCAAGTAACGGTTCAGAGTGAAAGAAAAAATGAACGCGGATCTATGGCTTTCTTCTACTAGTTGCACCGATCATTATCGAAATCTATAAGCACGATTGAATCCAGTAGACCTGTAGTAATAATAATTGCCAATCTTGCAGAGAACCTGCTAATAACCATCTTCATACTCCTCCCTGATGTCCAATGCAGATCAGTGGTGACTTCGGTAAGTTGGTGGTTCATAGATTACTCCATTTTGGCTGATTCTAACGAGAGGTGAACAATCAAAGGATTACTGCAGGTAATGTCTCAAATTTACCTGGACAAGTTGGAATGTATGAATGCTTGTAGTTGCCAATGGTGAAACTTGGCAATTGCTGGATTGCCACTTTTCGGTTTTTCGTGTATATAAGAGGGCATCTGTATTTCGAGAATTGCTTGGCATCTGTAAGTAATCTGAAGAGAATTGATAAGTTTCAGTCTGAAAGATGATGAGTCCAATTTTGCGATCTTTGGGTGCATTGATTTTCTCTTTCTGCTCTAATCTTATTATATTGATCGTTCCACAATTGGAAACTTGATTTGGCTTCTGGTTTTACACAAGTTACATATCCTTGTCGTTGGGATAACTGAATGAATCATGACATTGAGCTTGCTAGTGTTTTGATGCACGATTTCTTAGAAAGGATGGCAACGAATAGGCTGGGTTCTTAGATTCTGATATAGACCTCTCGGTTCTTATGATGGCAGTGTGCATGTTGAAAAGTTTTGTTTTCATATCATCAGCTTTGAAAGCCGGTTGTAGTCTGAGCTCTGCATTCATGATCCAATCATATCTGTGGCTTCTGATTTCAAGACAGGCGAACATCATGGGGAGCTCTCCTTCGAAGAAAATAGAGGAAACTCTGGAGGCTTCTCATACGTTTCAAGCAGCTGTGGATGCAAGCTATGAGGAATGTATGATACTTTCACAGCACATCTTTCCAGGTCTCCAGGCCTACCAGCTTTTAGACGCTGCAGAGAGGATATACGAAAAGCTTACAGCTGATGAAGAAGAGAAGGAAGAAGATGCTGTTCTACTGTACAAAGAGAGATGGCTTCCTCAACCACCCACACAGGTCAGCGATCAGACATATATTTTGATTTCTGAAATTTTAGACATCCCTTATGAGGATGATACTTCGCTTAGCCTTTACTCGAACTCCATGTCCCGTTTTGTACGTTACCATTTAAAAACCATAATGTAAACGCGACATGGGTTTTGATGAACACATCTCTGAAGCTAGCTCGAGAAATAGGTCGAGAGTTATCTAGCGCTATGATACTCTTCTCTATGTTGGTTCAAAATTCAAAATTCTTCAGGCCCTGACAGGCACATCTCGATGAGTACAGTTTAAAGTGTTTGCAGTTTTTCTTTTCGTTGTCTTTCGAAGTTAGGTGTACCAATTGAGTAGAGGTCGCTCGCCTTCTTACATAAGTGGTCAATTTTGCTCGCCATGCAGATGGATGTTGATCGAGCTATTGTAAAGGAGAAGCTTTTTGCAGGAGACAAAAGGGTTATAGCTCTAGACGACTTTCGTATTTTTGCCACAACCTTATTCAGAGACATGGGCCTGACAACTGCTAGTCATAGATTGGCCGTCTACGTCCCTGTCAGCAGCATCAGTGTTTTGTGTGCACATTTGGTTGTGAAAAAACTCCCGCTAGTGGGGCCTGCATATAGGGCCGGAGGTCCCCTGATGCCAGGTTTGCTGCTGGGTTCGATAATTGGAGTAGTCGTCTCACAACTTAAATTTACGTGAAGACGGGTCCTCAACAAGCTGGCTTGTGCTAATCTTGTTCCGTTCTTATTGTAAATCACGTCTTAGCAGATTTTGTTCCTAGGATGTACATGTGGAGTTAGAGTGATTTCTTTGATCCTCATCTTTTCAAAGATGTAAATGGATATTTCCAACCATCGAGACTCTAGTCTTAAAGTCTCAAACGTGTGTATATAACTCTGGACAATCAGTCATTTGGATTTTACCAAGTTATCCACGGAAATCTAGGTCACCGATGTATTTCGGCTTCGATGTAATGATACTTTGTATGTTTATAAGTTTCTTAAAACCCGACTATCAAGCGAGTGTTTGCTTCTGTCTTCTTTTTCTTCCTACTAATGTGTAGCAATTCAGGTTGATAAATCTGAAATCTTAGCTCTGATTTACACTACATATGTTGCGCAACGTTCCTTCAGAAGCCCTTTCGAAGGCTGTTGAGGATTGCCATAACTTCAGTGATTGCACGAAATCGGAAAAGCTCGAACGTATCTGCTGGTTTTATGCTAATCAAGAGGCTACTACAGATTCTTATCTTACTACAATCCTTGTTTTGATGAGCTTATCGAGGCAATAATCCATGACAGCCAAATGACGTCGTTCTAAACTCATGTCACCCCATCGAGCTGCTCTCAATCAGACCAGGCTTCACGTCTTTCTAGTGTTACACTGACACTGGATGAGATGTGGTCTTGTCTGAAGCGGAAGCAAAGTCCATTGGCTTGTAGTTGCCACGTGATGCCACCGGGCGAGCAACGCATCGGTGTCTTATACTTCCACCATGGGTGATGCGATGGAGATCTTAAGGACAGGCCTAAGAAATTTTTTTTTTTTGGAGCTGTAGACTAGCTTGGTGCGGGTTCGTTGTATGGAATTGTAGGTACATTTCAGGTACACACCGTGGAGGCATGATCACGTGCAAATCTTCTGAAAGTCCTGTGTGTGCTGGATTACTGGGCCCGATGTCCAGCCAAGTGGATGGTTGCTGCGTCTCACTGTGAACGCTCTGCCACGTGCATTCCGGTAGTTATCTACAAAAATCCACTCCTGGTGAAAGATTGATTCTAGCTATGTTTCGATATCTCAGTACTGTACCCCCAAATCGTCGGCATTTGCGGATACATCATTTCGATTCTGTCCAGAACTTTGAAGTTCCCCGCATCGTCTTCGTTTGACGTACACGGATTTCTTGGCTGTCATTTTACCTGCTGCGAAAGAATTCTGGTGAATATTGTCTATGGAGCGAAACACACCCTCGGAGAGGGTACCTCGGACCATCCGTTAGTCAAAGAACCAACTTTTCAAGAGTTAAAACTTATGAATGAAGTAGTTGGTATCGGAGATCCATCGAATATATCACTCCGGAGGATCGAGTGTTGCGTGCCAGAACAATACTCTAGATTCATCACGTCATTTCAGCTGGACAGCAAAATTTGAGGTGTGGGTTCTTTCTCCTTACACTCTACGGACGCGCCATGTAGGATGACAGCTCTAGGACAGTGCAGGGGGCGGACGCATGCGTAGGCCTCTTGCATGGATGTTAGTCTAGCGAGTGAGCACGGAATGACGATCACGTGCATGCAGTGTGTACCCAGAACGGTCAGATGTTCCTAATACAGCTCAGAGGAGAGACATTAACTGGGGACTTGACTGCCTGCGACTCTCGTGGAGGATAAACTCGTGGTCGTTGAGACCACATTGAATTGCGGTGGGTATGAAACGGGTCGAGTGAAACGGTCATCAGTCGACTTCGGCAGTTGGGGATACTCTTGTTAGATAAATTGACGTTGTGCTTCATTCTTGGGGCTGCAGAAAGCCATCGCCTCTCGTGAAGTCGACTTTGGATCGGGAAAGATGTCGAATGAGATTGTGAACGTTCGTGAGTATGAAGCTCTGGCCAAGCAGAAGCTGCCGAAAATGTTTTACGACTATTATGCCACAGGGGCGGACGATCAGTGGACTTTGAGAGAAAACATTGAGGCCTTCGCAAGAATTCGGTTCGTTAATTATCTATATGACAGCTGAAGTACTTTGATCTGTTTTTAATTAAAGTCAATGACCTTCAGGTGGCGTATGATGCCCCACTGTGCAGAAGATCAGAGATTAAGCTAGAAATGTCGATTACCTACTTCGTCTTGATGCTTGTATAGAGAACTTAGGCCTCAGACTTTCATCAAATTACATCTCTGTCACTTCATATTCTGTATAACATCTAGTTTCCGAGTCATTGTTCCAGATTGTCGTTCACGGCTAGGAATGTAAACTCGATCTAGACGAACCGATCCTGATGAATTTTGTTTTGGGGATAACTATGCTGGTGGAATCTCTGATGGCAGCACAAGCCTGTCCGCAGACAACATGCTGGATTCCTCTCTTCCGAGTTGATGGAAAACTACAGGATTCGAGGATCCTGAAAGCTTAGTTGACACCTATGGTTTTGACTAACGTGCTAGATCGAAGTAACGCCGTGCTTGGCTTACTACGAGTGTGGGCACCCTAGAAACCCCTTTCCTGCAGCTGCCTCTTTGACGATTGCGTTGTTTTTCCTCTTTCAGAATAAGACCCCGTATTATGGTCGATGTGAGTAATGTCGACATGTCAACTGAAGTTTTGGGATTCAAACTCTCAATGCCAATTATGGTGGCTCCGACGGGTCATCAAAAGTTGGCCCATAACGAGGGTAAGATCTCGGTTGGAATGTAGGGTGTCATATGCACAACATGGACTTCTTGGCCTGGAACTTTATGATGTTGAGACAGACAAGTGTTTCGTTTCTCCTTCAGTGAAGTGTAATCTAGTGGAATCTACGATCATTATGAGGTGACTAATTACTAGAGTGATGTGGCTTGACTGATGACGAGTGTGATCATTCTGCCACTTCTGAAGCTAGTTCGTGTTGGAAGACCGTGAGTTTAAGTTATCCAGAGACAACCAACGGTAGGAGGTCATATAGTTTCGAGACTTTTGAGAGTAACTATAGTCCGAAGTGCTTAGTTCGAAGTGCTGAAGGAGTAAAAGCAGATCATGGTATTCGCGCTCTCGAAGCTGGAAGTTTTGATAGGTGAAGTTTTGCAGGCGAGCTGGCGACGGCGAGAGCAACATCTGCTGCCGATACTATCATGGTGAAAAGTGGGAATTTGTCGAAGAGAGATCCACGCTTGTGTATCATGTGCTGTTTCTTTCTTGTGCTTCACCTATTGATATTGAGCAGATGCTTAGGCCCTTCGCTCGGTATATTCCAGGTTCTTTCATCTTCAGCAAATTCTACTTTGGAGGATGTTGCGAAGACTGGCCCTGGAATAAGGTTTTTCCAGCTCTATGTAAGTGGGCCGATCCACACGTTTCAAACTTCCTATGATAGTTCATTAACGAGATTTAAGTACCTGAATATTTAATGCTTGTGTAGATATTTAAGAACAGAGAAGGTGTGGCAGAGGTCGTCAAACGAGCAGAAAGGGCAGGTTTCAAGGCAATTGTTCTCACAGGCGATTCACCATGCCTTGGGCATAGAGAGAACGATATCAAGAATCGGTATGATGCAGACGTACGTTGCATATGAGACACATTTAGCGTAATCTGGTCTGCATTCCAGGTTATAAGGATGTTAATGTCGTATGCGGAGACTATTAAGTGAGTTTTGTTATCCTCTTTGCCGACCCGGAGATCTTTGACTTTCGAGTCACCTCCTCAAATTTGACACCTTGATGTTCTTCCAGTCGACAGGTTGTTGAATATAGTTTCCTTGTAATGAGCAGTTTGGAAAGGTCCGTATACTCAGATATTTTATGCCGTATTCCAGGTTTACCCTCCCTGCTCACTTAACCATTAGTAATTTTGAAAAAATCAGTGACAGCAGTATACTGCAGTCGAAGGTCAGTACCTTTTTGAGATATCTTGGAGATATTTTTGTGTGTTTTCGGTGAAAATTTGGATGTTTTCTTGGACGCAAATTATATAGGCATATAAAGCAGGAAATATCTTGCTTACTTCTTGGACATGATGACCTTTCTTGCAGTCAGACAAATCATCTCTGGCTGCTTTCGCAGATTCTCAGATTGATTCATCTATTACTTGGAAGGTGAGTTTGTGTGAACTTGTCTAATAAGAGTGCAGTATGTCCTGATATGTAGATATAACACATGTGCCTAATCTACTCCTATTTTGACGAGATGTGAGTTCATCTGTCAATCAAGCAGAAGTGAAGGATATTGATAATTTTTTCTGAAATTATTGTATACAGGAAGTTGCTTGGCTTAGGGGAATTACGAGTCTTCCGATTTTAATCAAAGGGGTTCTGACCGGAGAAGATGGTGTAATTTTAACTGTGTTTTAAAATTGATAATGAAAAGTTTACGTTTCACGCATTTATGCGATGACAATAATCAAGGCTCAGCAGTTTTCGGAGGACTCTTGTGCTGTTTTGAATTAACCTTTTCAATTTTAATACTTTGTAAGAGACTCAGCACGGTTTACTGACTCAAGTAAATTGTATTTTTAAATGACAAACACTTACAGCTGCGCTAGCAGTCCACAGTGGAGTTGATGGTATCATCGTATCGAACCATGGCGCTCGGCAGCTCGATTATGTACCAGCCACAATATCAGTTCTCGAAGAGGTAATGTCATCCCAGTCACTGATTGGAACTTCGTTGACATGATTGTGTAGTTATAGTTGTATGGTAAGGCAGGGTACACAAAGATATATCAACTAGGTTTATTATGGACTGTGTGCGATACTCTATGAATGTCATGGTTTCATATTCTTACATCGTGGCAAAGTCATTAGCCCCTTGTCATGGCTATCGTTGGCCCGCCAACTTTCTGCGGTGATAACCACCTCACTGGGCTCTTTTTATTTTGTTGTGGTCGGACGTGTTGATAGTAACCCCCAAACGCCCCTCTACTTGAATTTATTGCAGCTCAAGACATCTCAGGTACAATAAGACTGTGAAGTTTCTCTTATCAGTGGTGGGAATGTGAAAGCAGATAGTTCAAGCAGTGGGTGGGAGGGTGCCGGTTTTCCTCGATGGTGGAGTTCGCCGTGGAACGGACGTATTCAAAGCACTAGCTCTAGGTGCAGCCGGTGTTTTTGTGAGTGAACCTAACCATAATTCTCAACTCCGAAGGCAAACTGAAGGCACAACGTTAGAAAAAAAGACAATCACGTTTATCAGATAAGCTGGTCTGCTTCAAATAGCGTTACTGACTTAGAGGAGGGAAGAAAAGGGAAACTTCCTTTGGGCAATCAGAACTTCTCCTTCATCTTTTAGCTGACACACTCTTTCCTGATGTACAGGTGGGAAGACCAGTGGTGTACGGGTTAGCAGTGGATGGGGAAGCCGGTGTCAGAAAGGTTTTGAAGATGCTCCATGACGAATTCGAAGTGGCTCTGAAGTTGTCGGGTTGCTGTCAAGTGCAGGATATCAAACGATCCCATGTCTGGACAGAAAACGATCCCCTGAGAAGATCAAAGCTGTAAAGTGTCTCAATGCTCAAAGTTTGGGCAATAAAGATTCACTCTGGGAGGCTTGTATACATGTCTTTCATCGAAGACATGCTATCTAATGTCGGATTGCTTGGCAATTCGGATCACTCTTGATATTTTTTGTTTGGATATATACATGTTGGTAAGAGATTCACCTCAGAAGTGAATGGCATGTCGTAGGTATTCTCCCGTTTTAGTTTGAGCCAGAAGCTTGAACTTACATACTATATAAGCGACAACTGGAACTTTCCACATGTCGAACCACCACACAAGGATGGGTGTGGGGGCATAAGGCGAGTTTTACCGTTTTGAAAACCATCGGACGAGGACCTTTCAAGAGAACGAGCAAATACGAGGTAGTTCTTATAAAGTTCTCAGTGTGGAAATTTCATTAATTTGTAGAAACCAAATTTCGAATCATGATCAAATAAGAGGTTGTTCTTATAAAGTTCTCATTTTGGAAAGATCATCAGTTTCCAGAAACCAGATTTCGAATCACGCACAAAGACTGGTGAGTTCAGTAAAGTATATCGCCCGTCACTTCGGGATTTCGAACTGCATCAATGTAGATCGGTGTACTTGTCAAAGGGGTTTTCAATCAATGCTCTCCATCACCAGTGGCATCTATGGAGGAAGGACTCGTAAGCCACCTCTATCTGCATCACCTACATTGAACGGGTCGTCCCAAATTGAGAAATTGAAAGTAGTCGAGTGCTTGCTATGAAATTCACTCATTTCTTAGACCTGTGAATATATAAGTGAAGGTGAACCAAGGCACCAAGCAATATAGCAAAATTGATAGAAAGACTTTTAAGTATGAATCAAGGGTTTATTCTATTCTAGGCTCGGATAGTGTCACAATGGGAAAGATAAGATACACAACTGCAATTGATACATAATCAATACCTATTTCAAAATCATTTTAGTAGTATCTATTTACATTGTTCTATAACGGATTTAACTAATTAGAGCAAATAGAAAGTATAATTAGAAGTCAACTTGGACATCTAAAAATATGGAAAGGTAACAAGACCCAATCACGGTGTGCAAGCATGAATCCAAGGCAGTAACATTCGCTAGACCCCTATCATGAATATGGAAAAATATAAGTATTGCATATGATATATACAATCTCTCTCTCTCAAACCGGAAGAATAATTAAGTGACGCGATTTAACGACTAGAACCAATAAGAGACACGTGCAATCAATGAATGCTAGTGAGTATATATAAGCAATAATTAAATGTAAATCTGTAGGTTGCTCTAAATTGGAAGGTCTCGCAATACCAATGGAAATGAAGGTACTCAAATAGTGCATGAGATTGACACAAAGGCAGATATAGCCAAGTTTCTGCACTCGGGCTCCTCCCTTTTACTTAAATAGAAGGCCCTATGCCACAACCAGCTCGGAAAAGTTACTTTTTACTAGGAGAACATCCAAGCTACATCATGTGAAGTGCATGAACTTCAGCTTATCGGGGGTCCAAAATCAGAGTGCGAAGGAAGGGAGCAAAGTCCAAGCACGAGGTAGTCGGTCAAGGGTCTTAAGTTCTGAACGAATCTCAAATGACCTTCAAGCCTGTGGGATATCAGGAACCAAAGAGTGCATATCCTCGAGGAATGATCTGGCAAATATCGTACCTTGCAACTTTGCTGTATGCAAATGTATTGGGCTTTACTGACAAAAAGAAATGTCGAGAAGTCCTACCACTCTGACAGTTGTCAACAGCAAACAGCAAAGGATGATCCACCGATTCCACTGACGAGTGGAATCAGCCTATCATCCTGTGTCCTCAACTGTCAAGACTTCTGCCGACCAAGGTATTATCCAAACCTGACTTGAATTTTACATTTGCTCATGTGTCAGTACCGTCGCTGGAAGTGATCGATATTTTCGGGAAAGCTGAACGACCCCTACGGTAAAATTAAATCTACCATGTTATCTCGTCGGTACAGTATGTGAGTCGAGAATATACGCAAACGTTCATGTGATGCTTCCGCGAACGTTCATGGGATGCTTCCGCACGACAGGTTCTGAACGTAGAGATCTGCCACTGGTACAGGTGAAAATTCTAGATCTTCACATTCATCAATGTTTTGCGTGGAAAAGAACCTCTCACCGTGAGAAAAAGAAGCGTAGGCTTGAATAGCGTTGGGCTCAGCTCACACTTTTATTGGACTCTATAATCATATTCTTACATGTCCTCGGAGGCTCGGGCCGCCACTTCCATCTCCGGCTCGTAGACGTACATCTCGTTGGACGTAAGTATGACCAACGTACCTAACGCCCGAATACATGTGCTGCATGGACTCGAGGCTTGTTTGCACGTACGAGTCGTCCAACTTCATCACTGATGCCTTGGATATGATCACAGAGTCGAGGGCTCGGTGCTTCTCATCGGTGGCCTCCAAGATTCTCACATACGGCAGAGCTGGCCGTACGTCGCCATGCCAGCCGACATTTCCATAGCCATCTTGTCTGACTGTACAAAGTGCATACAAAATCACCACCTGAGACTTACCTACGACTGGCTCTTTCCTCCTCTGTATGCTACATGAGGTTTCATGATTCATGATCGTCTCAGATACTTGTGCGATGTTCCAGGTCGATCGATTTGACGGCCGCTCAACTCATTTGATTTAGCCGATCGAGTGTATGGTACAGTTAGTATAACAGCTGCTTAGATTCTGCGTGAGGTTACGACCTCAAGGAAATTAATTGTTGCATACTCTTCTTCTATGGGAACAACGGAGATTATAAGGAGTTGATTGGGTAGAGGTCCCTAGCGCGGAACAACGAGAGATCTCCCATAAACTGAAAAACTAGTTATGGGCAGAATATTGCATAGTGATCTGTATAAGTAGTGAGAATTAAATCTCGTAACGTGTCGTGTCACGGTTACACTCACGATATGTCGTTAAACATCTATCATACAACCACATGTTCTTAGTCGTTGAATTCTTTTAGAATTCAGGTAGATTTTTTAAAAAATGTCACACTTTACTTCGTTCATATTATTTAATTTGCGCAATACAGACTATTGAATCTTATTTGAAATGTAATTTCTATTATATATCTTGATGAGATTAAAGATATATTTTTATCTAGATTCATGTTAGTGAAGGAAAAAGAATTCATTTATATCTTCCTCATTTACAAATTCATGAATGATTTAAACTAGGCTGGGGCCGCTAGTGGTTTGGATAAAGATGAAATTGATTACAAAGTTCTTCTACAAAAGGGATTATAAATAAATAATTTATTTTCCTTTTAATTTTAGGAGAGTTGTCAATTATTTGTGGGCAGATAAGTTAAAATTTATCAAATGCAAAGATAAGTATAATACACAAATACAGATATTATAAATATCTATTGTATACGGGGAAAAACTTTAAATCCCATAAAAAATTAAATATATTTTAACCATTTCCTAATACAAAATATTATAATATGAGAAAAGCCATAGCTCCAAGGCCTCTATGGTAAAGCAGACGCCTTGGCGCGCAACAGGGGTTGCAAGAGAATTCGGATCGACGATCTTCACAACAGGTCACAATCTTCATGTTGGGAGGCCACGCATGTGAATCAGAGTCGCGAAATAGATCGGATCGTCGTCAGTCGTCGCGGAGTGCAAGGAACCGTTGGAGAAAGATAGATCCAGCTCGCTGGAAGGTCTTGCCGAAACCCGTGGGAGTGTGATTGTATGTATGAGTTTGAAGGTTTGAAGTCAAATATGCCAATGTTCTGAAGATAGCAACTTATTTCAAGTTCAGGGAGATGCACAGATTTTCAAATTTTATCCGAAACATACGAAGTGAAGCTAGCATACGACGAAAAAAGCTTTTCTTCCTCGAAGGAGCTTTCACAAGGAACACACCTTGTCAGAAGTGGGATTTGAACCCACGCCTCTCACGAGACCCGAACTTGAGTCGGGCGCCTTAGACCACTCGGCCATCCTGACTTGATGCTTGAGATTCATTTAAATATATACTTACTTTTCAATAAATATTTAAAGATCCATCGAAGTCCCGTATACATTTCAGGACTGTAGCGTTGAGTCACAAGAAACTAAAGCGAGCCTCACTGATGGCCGTGGCGAACAGGAGGAGGGTTTCGGAGAAATGTGTCCCATTCTCCATACAAGGGAGTGCGTCGAATCATGTCCACAAAAATCTGGAGATGGTGGTAAGATAATATGGTGGAAACTTGGCATTCTAGTAAAAAGCAAAAAGGATGGGAGGACCCCAGCACGTGGCAGAAGGATAAAACCAAGGGCTAGGTCGTCATAAAATCATAACGAATACACATGATCGAATATATTATGTAGGCAAGGGATGTACAAATAAATGCATCGGATTAAATTTGCAAACCAAAATTTCAAGCTATTTATGACATTGGCCACTTTATACAGATCAATGAAAATTTGCAGCCTAAAACAAAGATAAGAATTTATATGAAATAAATTAAATTAACTTGCTTCTTATTTGTGTAGGTTAATTTTCATATCCATGCCCAAGTCCACGTTAAAGTCTCACTTCAACTTCAATGCTAGGGTAATTGTATTGAAAATTAGTTCTTCATAGCAGAAAATTAAATAGATACAACAATACTTTCTTGTGTTCAAGAAATGACTTTATGATCATATTCAACACCATCACCTGGGCTGACTATTGATCAGCGTCTCAATTGCATTAAACTTAGTCATTTTTTACGACGGAAGTTCTCTATGTGACAATCTTTATCACTGACAGTCGATAGTAGTATTCAAACATAACAATTAAGATTAAGATTAAGTCTGCACTTTGTGATGCAATTTGGATTCTGGGCAGACTACATTGCTGCAGCGCACGGATGACTTCCAAATGGTAGATTACATTGATGTATATGTGATCGGTGTGAGAGATACGTGTTGCCATGAATCGAATGTCTCTGTCTAGGAAGTGACTCGTCGACGGAACGGTAGACTGAGGCCATGCTACAGATGGAACAAACATCAGGTGTTGTTGTGTAATTGAATGCTCATGATCATCACTACCAGGATTGTAGGCATCAAGATCTCAAGATGCAGTGGCAGATAAGTTTCTCACATCTGGACCTTTCTAACAAACTTTCGCCTTGTCCGAAACAAATCCACATGAATTCTGTTTAGTTTCATCGCCATTTCTTTTCAATTCCCATTTAGTTGTGTCAAACTGTTACCAGAGGGACTCAAAGCTCATATTGCAACAGAAGAGCTCTCACTGTACTCTAACTCCAGCCTTTAATCACGTAAACTTTCTTTTGATATCAAGTGGAAAATTTGCAAACAGAAAATAATAGCCTGTCGGAAACCACAAGAAAATAAGACATATGTAAGACTACCTACTACTACTATCAACCCTTTAATCTCATCATCAACCCTTCTATTTCTATGCCTTAATACATGCACTCTGATGAAGTGATGCTTGATCCGATTGCAAGCAGGATTTAATGTATAACGTGACTACTCAAGGAACAGATGGACCATCGGAGCAAGAACTTATAGAGTGTTGGAGATGGTAATGAGTACATGAGATTTACAGAGTGCAAGTTTTCAAATTTGAGATTGAATAATACGAGTAATCAAAATAATTTCTTTTCGTTCTGTTCTCCTACTTACGCCCATGATTCAACCATATAAATTGTCACTGCTAAGTAACATAGTCGGTTTTATGGAGAAGCAAATAGTTACCATTTACTTAGACACAACAACCCCATAGGAAGGGTGAAGTGTCAGACCAGAAAAAGGTGACGACTTCAATTCATAAAGGTTGAAATTTTAGAAGCTAAAGCAAAGCTTCATATCTTCTTTAATTCATGCTCGAATAATTATGAATTCAATCTGTAGGTGCAGTATTGACTTCATCTATGGTGTAATTGTGTATGTGTCTAACAAAAATCTGTTGTTCACGGCGCTCTGCAGAAACTATTGTATACCTTCATGAATTGGTTTTCTGGGCTTCGTTATGAAATTGGTACTTCGATTATATATAGATTCACTGATGATGCACTGATACTTCTAGAAAATTTGTCTAGTTACTTTGAAATCAAATCCATGATTGCTTGCTTTGTATAAATACATTATCTTTCCACAACTTAAGTGTAATATAACCTCTTCAACACGGAAAAGCATTGAAAAGAGTCCTTTATGTCAAATTTGACGTGGAAGAGAAAAAAATCCTAACCTACAACACAATACTCCTAATTTAAGACTATTTTATATACATATATAGGATAAGGATCTTGAGTTGAAAAGGTTTCTAACGCATAGCTCTATAATAACTCTCGTACAAATAGATGGACGAATTTATAGTCTTGGAAGAAAATTTAACCTTTAATACGCGGAAGATTTAATGATGTACACGTCTGGTATTTTTGCAACGGTTTCAGTAGAAGTAACAGCGGTCTCAGTAGAAGTAACAGCCTGCCGTATGAGATACCTAAAGCAAAGAATCAATTTGACCTCATCGAGCACATCAGCATCGGTTCATGGAAGACATATTGAAGCCATCTCAGCCATGTAAGAGCAGGACATCGATAGCAGAGTGAGCCCAACTAAGCACGATCCAGACCGTCGAACTGAGACTGTTGAAATGCTTCTTGCATTACAGAAATGTGTTGTGGAACTAACAGTAATGTCGCTGCAATAAAAGTATGGACACATCAAAATACCAAAAATGATAGAAATACCTCACCATTCCTACATGGATGGATCTTGGGTAGGCCTCACTTGCGTCATGATATTTTATATTTATATATATAAATTCACTTGAAATTTCAAAACTATCTAGTTCATTCGATTGAGTTTTTGCAGTACAAAAAATAATAACAAATTGGATGAGGGAAAGGATTCCATCAAATCTAACATTGACGAAAATATACGGGCTAATGAGGCTAGGTTCCAATAAAATCAATGCGGAAGATCTTCCTCTAATACTTACAAAATATCTTTAATTTCAGTTCAAAACTTTAAGAAACAATATCAGCATCCAATTGATCATCATTCATGTGATTGCTATTCTTCAAATTGTATCATCTTATAATCTATTATCTATATAATCTGTAAAACTAATCAAAATATAATAAGCCAGATAGAGTTTTTTATTTCCTAGTATCGTATAATCATGTGAAGTCTTTAAAAAACATGCCACCTTTTGTGTCTATATTTCCTTATAATGTAAAACAGAGCAAATATATATGTATATCAAATTATCAATTATTTTTTATCATTTCCTTAATTTTTATTATGTAAAACACATATTACTTTTATGACAATCACGAAAAGATGATCAATAGATGCAAATTAAATAGTCTTAAACTTCCAGTGCTATGTCTGATCAAGACTGCACTTGACTTGCAGGTTTGATTATATTTAACACATGAAATGAATCCACTGAATTATCAACTCTCTTCACTTGTTGTAACATTAGATATCACCACTTTCGTTCACAATCTGTAGAAAACTCTAGAATTTTCTATTTGGAATCGTTTGGTTAGTAATTAGAACGGGTAGTAACTGACTGGTTGCATCTTCTCCAAACATTTTCTTCCATCGAATGTGACATCAGGATTGATTCCTCTGCCGGAAAATACTTTGATACTTCTTTACGTACCACCTTCATTTGTACCATACCCGACACATGATTATAGGAGGGTTGAAAACACGTCTTGCGTCAAGGTTGACTACCTTGTTATGGTAGATTCAGAGCTGAGAAAATGATACTTGTCAAGAAACCAAGTTGTAAATTGATATACCCAGCTTGCTCAGTGACATGAGTCCCTGCTGGCTTGCTACACATTACCTGTGATTGAAGTGTAATCAAAACAATCATGATGTCATAGTCTTATGTTACCTTTGATTGGGAGAGTGATTATACTGTTGCTGAGAAAAGTATCTGAAGTCGGAGAACGCAACATATTCTCTTCAAGAGTTAATGAAGCTTCTCTCATATTGCCATCCCTTGAATATAATTAAGAAGAGAAGAAGCTGTATGCAAGAGTTTGAAGCTCATAATCTGCAATCGTTCTTGGGTTAGTCATTTATGACCTTTTCTTTCATCATAGTTTCTGTCAGAAGGTTTTAGAAAATTCCAAAGCGAGTCTTTTTTTTAATGTTCCAGTAATTTCTCTAGAGGACGGAAGGAAATTCGCAGTTCATTCATTCCTGAATCTGGAAATGTCTTGGTTATGAAAGATGCGACACTGCGTATACGGGAGAGATACTGAAGGAAGTTTGTTCCGAGGCTGTTAAGCTAACTGTATAAGTCTTGATTATCCAAACTGATGAATAAAATATATTTACGCTTGAAAACGTCAGTCTCATCGAAATACTGAATACTTGCAAGATAAGACGACGAGATTTTTGATTGATATAGACAACGTCTAAGGTGAATATATATCGTATGAGGTTGGCACGTAGTCCAACTCACATATGTTGAAGTACTGTGTTCACGTGGTCTACTGCATTTCAAATCTAAATCTGATCAAGAAGGTTAGCTCCCTTCTTCTGAAGGATTGATTAGCCAAAACTCGACTCAAACTATTCTTGAATATATATAATGTCACGTACCATGACAATTAATCCTTACATTATAAACAAAATTCTGTTACAAATTTTGATGTCGTCCATTGTTAAACTGACATCCTGCGCATATATGTCGACTTTACAGTTTTCATATGCAAACTGGAAAAGTCCGTTATTGGGGAGGAAGATATCGCTCCTACTTGAAAAGGATATGTAATCTGGTTTACTAATATAACCTCGACTCGACTGGGTTCGAGTCTCGAAACGACCAAATTTTCTTCAAGAGGCATGCTGTTGGTTTCTAAACTACGCTTCTCATCTGTTTCTATGCACTTTCTACGTCTATATCCTGACATTGCTTGTTGAGCATAGCCAAGTCTCTTAGGTGAACATTCTTTCACATAGTAACATTCACCTTGAAAAATCTTCGAGGGCAAATTGCATATATGGATAATCAAGAAGACTGCCCTCGCTCAAATACTAATGTGGAAAATTTCAGGCCAATTCTTCGCTGTAAAACTTGTTCCAAGCCTCGCGCAGAACTCCAAAAACTTTCTCTGCAACGTATTTCTGCTCGAGAGTACCTCCCTTCTGTTGCACCTTATCAGGGTGAAGACAAAAGGATGCTCTCCTGTAGACCTTCTTCACAGAACTGGGGGTCACGAGTTCAGAAAGAGGAACACTCTTCCACTTGCACTCGGGCCACAAAACGTTATGTAAGCTTGAAAGCAGAGCTCTCAAGTTTCCCTCCCTTCCACAGGACCATCTTTTAATTTGTGGGTCCAACTCAAAAGCAGCTTTTGTTTTCTCCTCGCTTTCTCGCTGACGCGCTTGCTCTTGTTGGTTGATCGCCTCGATTTTCCTCGCTGCTCGTTTGCAGGACTGCAAATGCTTGAACCCTTCGTACCTCAGCCTCCTATGGTGAGGACTTTCTCCCTCAATTTCGTGAAAAGTATCGATGTCTTCAGCCGACTTCTTCGCCTGACTTGCAGCCTCGGCCTTTCTTTCTGCATCGAAGTATTCTTTGAGTGATGTCGATCTCTGTAGTTGAGGTGTAGCAAGACCCACATTGGTATCCATATCTGACACAGTCGTCGATGGAGCACGTTGTTTCTTCTCAGGGAAGCTAGTAGGACCTTCACTAGTCCTCGAAACTGATGTGTCCTTATTCTGAACCTCGACCTTGTCTCCCGTCTTCCCCGGAAAATTGGATTTTGTAGGCTGCCCCGTGCGTGAACTGACAGAAACAGACGACTCGGAGAAGTTGTTCTTGACAGGAACATGATTTTCATCAAAACCGCTCAAAGGTCTTGCGCGAGACTGTGGAGTTTGCTGATGTCGGAAGGCATTGCAAACATTTTTCAGCTGGTTCGCCATCTTGCAACCTTTTGCCTCAGGAGGAGCTGGAAATTTTATTGCGCCGTTTGAAGTGTTCGATTTGTACGTGTAGACATGAGGCTCGATCAGTTTCTCACGTTGGTGCTGTATCCTTTCTCTCTGCTCTGCTGCTCTTCGTGGGTCTGGAGTTTCTTTTTCTTCTCTGAGGCTTCCGCCGTGGCAGAAGAGGTAAACCTTGTCCACTTCAATTCTTCTCTTACTCCTGACGTAACCCTCTGAGTCATTGGGGGCCTTTTCTTTCGATGATTTGATTTCACGCTTTCGAAATTTAGTCTCTGCAAGAGAAGTGCGGGCCATGAAGCAATTGCACAGCCTCGACATCATTTGCACCGGAATCCTCTTTTCTGCTCTTTTTGTTCTCTTCTGCTCTGTCGCCACCAGCACATCGACTCCTTCCATACCACACAGCCTGGGAGACGAGGCATACTCCTCACACTTCCTCCACAGGTGGCCAAACTTCTCCAGCTCCACATTTGCATTCGCATCCGTAACTCGTACATTTTCCTTGATCTTCCTGCTGCGCGTCTTCGAGAATAACTCACCCGTAGACACTTGCTCGATCTCCTTTCGAGTCTTTTCCAATCCAACCAGCTGATACATCCTCTCCGACTGCCCCCTTCTCTTCGTGTCTTTGCTCCCGTCGTTGCCTTCTAGCTTCAGATCATCTCCAAGTATCTCCTCCACATAATGTTGGAATATTGTCTTGTGAACCATTGTATCAAACAACAAGACCCTTGCATCCACAATTACACCCAGGCCGGAATGTGTGATCTGCTACGAATGACAGAAATGATACTCCTGAAAGTCTACTCGAAGTTTAACTAACCACGATATCGAGAGAAAAGGAGCATAGGGCTGCACGGGCACCTACTAATACTACTGCAGTCGCGAGTGAGATTCCTAGTCTTTATTCGCCTACTCTAGAGGTGAGCGAGCTGTGTTGAGCAGGAGTCGTTATTCAACGGAATTTTCTAAATTGTAGAGAGTGGATCTGATTCGCCTCTGACAAGCTTGTACTTTCTCAAAGCGGCGCGAAGAGTATAAATAGCCTTCATGCATGCAAGCGCGTGGTCCAACTTTCATGCCGGAGTCAAAATTGACAAATGGTCTGTAATGTGGCATAACCCATGGGGTCGTGACTCTGTACTACACATGACTACCCCGTGAAAAGCAAGTACTACTACTTGTAGCTTACTCTCCCAATCTTCTTCAGATAAGCTTTTTCCACAATATGGAGCAGACAGCAGTTATTTTGGTTGTGAATCTAGCGATTTACATACTTGATATGCGGCAGTTAGATTTTAAGCTATATTCTTAACCTTGATATTCGAAGTTTTCAAGTTATGATCACTTTTCTAAAAATTGCCATCTACAATCGTGGTCTAGTATTTTCAGAATGTCACAAAACGCTAAACTGTACTTTCACTCGTCATCTTCGTTTGGTTTTTCCGCCACGAGTCGAGTTTCTATAATTATGTAAGATCGTACGAGCAGGAAGTCGTGCGTAGCTCTGCCCTGAAATTCTAGGCTTCAGAAGGAGACATCAATGAGCGAAACTACAGACTGAGAGCTTATCCGTCCTACAATCGTTCGCGGGAGGGTTTGTCTCAGTCTCCTGAGTTTTATACACGATGGGTGTACAGTGCATCAGTCGTCTGTCAAGAATTCGCTACACTGACGAACAACACAACATTTCGCTCCGGTCATATAATCCGGAGATCTGATACGCTCCGTCCTCCGTCTTCATGATTGGGGATAATAGAATTTAGCTGTTTAAGAGACTGGACTCTAAACGTTTGTGGTGCTTTGGGCACTAGCTAGCGGGTTCTTTTGGTTCTCTCTTAGTTTGGAGTATTATGGTTTTTAGCCTTTTGACCCTTTGGGTCCCACGGGCTTGATCTAATTACCATTACCATGGTACATGTTATGGGGTATAATCAATTACTGCCAAATTTATACATGCGGATATGTCCTTGAAGGTCATAAAGAAGTCTACGAATGTCAGATGCTTGAGCAATTATGATCCATTATAGTGACCTCACGGAAAGCCAGGGTCACGGTGGAAAATAGTGCCGACTATGCCCCTGAGATGGATTTAGATAAAGTGGGAGCATAACAGTGCAACAAAGCCTCATCACCACTGTGCACAATTGATGTGGCTTGGAAAATTGTCTATTACTTACAAATTTTAATATTTCACTTGAGTATGTTTTAGAGACACAACTGTAGTATGAAAAAAAATAATTCAGTTTAATTGTATGTGAGTGATTATAAAAAAATGTTAAAATTTAATGAAATTTATTATTTATTAGTCAATTAGATTAAAAATTCGAATATTCATAAACGACATATTTTTTTAAACTATGCAACATCGATTATTACTTAATTAATCAGGTCTAATGTCTTGTAATATTCACAAAGTGAGATATTGAAAAGTCATAGTAAAGATTATAATTTAAAACTACTACATGAAATAACTAATAAGGATTAGATGTGATTAGTAAATATTATTATAGTATGTACATACAAACATACATACACCATTGCAGCCAACCTATCTTATTATAGGTATAGATGTTCATGTTTACTCTTAAAATTGTTCATTGTTAATTACAGTTGAGTAGATATCCTAGATGAATGCTAACTAGGCTAATTGTGAATACCATAAACACGTACTATACTTAATATACATGTGACATAATAGGGTTTTGATTAATGAAACCATAGGTGTGTTTCTCTAAATTACAATTTTTTTATGCTAACTCTGGAGTGCATAAGTTACATCATGTTTACCAACATATCATAGCTAATTTTATTAATGTGAAGAAAACCTTCAAAATGACGGAAATATAACAATTTTTCGATTTAATTTGAAAAATGCAAATTTTGTTTCATAAAATATCAAGTCGATATTTTTCCTGATTCAATTTTTAATCTTGATATCAATTAAATATAGATTTTTTCTTATTTCTCATGATAGGTACATGCTTCAAAAAGATCATTATATCTTCCATTGAATTAGTATTTGAAAATTTAGAATCAATTTATATTTATTCATGAAATAGTCTAAAATGGTCTGCTTATTCATCTCATAAATAAAGATTTATTAAGGTAAAAATTAGTTCAGGTGTAATATATGAATGAATATGATTAGATGAAGGTTAATTTTAGAATTTCAAGCTTTGGCCAAAGATTTTATCTTTCAATAAAAAATCTACTATGTGCAGTTGTCTTTGAAATCATATTATTGTGAATCAAATTTTAGATTATTGATATACCATACGTCTATGGTGTGATTGAGAGCTGAATGTGAGGTGACTCCAGGTGAGTCGGTCATGCAATATAGCGTTGATCGTGCGGGCACACGAACTCGACAGAAAGTTTGAAATAAAGTGAATAAGTGGCTGTTATTACTGTAAACTGAACAAAGCGTTCATGTTAGAGTTTGCCAGAGTACAGAACATCAAAATATACTTAAATACAGAATACTTTAAAAGACACGTCTCCTCTCGCGTTCGAGGAAATAAAGTAACTCTTATGTAAGGTACTGTACAAGACTAAGTCGACCACATATGCAAGGCAAAAACGTGGGGCATTGGGAGAATCGAACTCCCGGCCTCTCGCACCCGAAGCGAGAATCATACCACTAGACCAAATGCCCAGATGCTAATGGGGATGGAAAATAAGTATTTACCTAGTAGTGAAGTCAGGCAGCAGAGCGAAAGCGATTTGTTGTCTCAGTCCATGCACTCTGAAACTCACGTACGCTGACGTGTCTGTCAGTCGACTAAGAAAGGACCCAAAGCTCCACCGCCCACGTCCTCTTCCGCCTCCTCAGGTGTCCAATACAGATTCTGATGGAGTGCGATGATGAAATAGATTGACTTCATGCAATTGACACAAAATTCTGATGATGGGGCTGCGATCACTGCAATTTGCTCATCGATTTCCTTGCGATGGATGAACGTCCACCGAAGTGTAATCGTTGTAGAATGACAAATCGTCGTGAAAATTGGAACTTGAATTTCCACTTAACTTGGATTTTAGGTTCCACTTTCTGGTCTAGTGAGATCCTTCCAGCTCCACGAGGCTCTCCATCACCTGCATGCCAGTAATGTCAGTGCTCGAATGCACATCAATTTCCTTCGTATTACGCCAGTAATATCCCAACCTATCTCAACATGAGCTTGAATCGTACGATTGGGATCGCGAACAGGCGCGTTTAAATTGCGGTAATCTGTGAAATCCAGCTGAGTGAAGCCAATTTTTGGAGATGGAGTGAAGTTCTCCCTTCGCAAATTGACTCGTCCAAGTTTCTATACGTACTATACCAGCAGAATGAGCAACATCAGTAGCAGTGCGAGTGGCACTCGTGACTCTCATTGTTGTCGATTGACAGCATTGATAGTGGGTATAAAACCACAGCTCCAGACGAAACAGTGAGAATATCGGCGAGACGAATTGCCGAGCAAGTATGATTCATGCTCTGTCCGATCCAATTTCTAGAGATGTATGAACCGTTTGTCAACCGCTGGTCACTATTTTCTATTCCAAAAAAAGTACGAGTGTGTATACGGGATTCATTGGCCAGAAACTCCTCAAACGTTTGAAATCGAGATCTCAAATCTCAGCGAAATCGAGAAGTCATTATTTGGGGTTGTAAGCTGTATTCAAAATTCATCATAGGTATTTGAAACATTGTTACGGTTTCTAATTTCCACCAGTTATCTAATCTCGACCTGAATTCTAAAAATTGAGTACAATCTACAAAAAATCTGAAACAGCTAAGTCTTTCGAACGAAATCGCTCATGCTGACTAATATAATGATGGACCTCTCTGTAGTTTATTGCATTTGTCAATGGGTTACATTAAACAATCGATCTTCTCTTCTCTAATTTGGTTTCACTAGATGCATACATACCTTACTCATACAAAATCCTCTCGTCACGTATACACTGTCATGATCGTTTGGTTATATTGACCGTTCTATGAAACATAATACAACCATAATAACCAGCTTATGTTCAATTTCTGTTCCAGGAGATCTATCAAATGCAATGTGACCCATGTCTAAGCAAGTATATGACACAATATAAGCTACGCATGTTAAAGGCTTGCTTCATCTATCTTACCAGATATGCAAATTGAATGTTAAGGATTTAACAGTAGTCTTTGGTACTCAAATCGCTGAAAAACCCAGGATATGTTTTAACCCCTTTGCTATGAAGCGGATTTTGTAGTTGAAATTTATCTAAGTATCCTGTTTGACAGTATTTCGAGAAAAAATAATTACACTCATGGGGTTATCTCAAAAGAATTTCAAAAAGCTGGAATAAGGTTCAAGGGCAAAATCCGAAGACAGAAGTTGATCCTTTGACTTCGAACATTGGAGCTGTAGAATATCGAGATTTTCACTTGCTTAAATTATTCGGCCGGCTCTTGCATGTGGAGCTGCATCTTATCTACAACAAATAAACTTACAAACAAAACTCACAACTTTCCCCAAAGACGATCCTCTCTCAGGCTTGTTGCGTATCATGACTTGTCTCCTGAGACGACTAGTGTGACACATTTTCTCCTCGATAGACCTCTGAGGTAGGCCTCTGTGATGTGACATCCTGAAAGCATCTTCCACAACCTTGTAGCTGTAATTAGTCAGCATGTGATTTGCAGTCCTGGTATGTACCTTCGAGTGAGAAACAATTTTTCTCCAATCATTGAGCTGAGCTTGTTTGACGGTATCCACAAATTTCTTCTCAGATGGTCTTATAGGAGAGCGGACTGTACACTTTTGGGTACCGAAGCTAATGCTTGGAATGTTGGAGCTGCCAGTTGAAGCTACCGGTTCTCTTTTCTGGAGCAGTAGATGTTCGATTCCTCTTGTTCTCCCGACTTTTGTGGAAGTCCGGAGGGCTGGATCTGCTACGTTCCTTGTTGAAGACAGTCCGATGTCCTTAGGTTGAAGACTCTGGCATGATATGTCCAATCTGTTGGGTGAACTCTCCGAGAGAAATTTGATTCTCATCTTTTTCTCGAATATCTCTCTAGAAACTTTCAAATGCTTGGTCCAGTTTCCTGTTGGCAGTTTCTCTCCCTTCAATAAATATTGGAAAAGAGTTGGAGCATCTTTTGTTCTCTTACGATGTCCGGATGGAACAGTATTCGTCCTCCTCCTACATGGTCCCTCGTTTCCAACCCGGCAATTGAATTGGAAAATCTTGAATTCCAACTGGGCATGCTTTGAATCGTCTTTGGCAGTCTGTTCTGTCCCGGCAACTTTTGCAAATTCCTGACATCCATCATATCGAGGTCTGAACGTAACTCCAAATTCAATTGTTTTCCCCGTTTCCTCCCGCAAACCGTCGTCAGGTTGAGGTGGGTGTTCAATGTGTTCTGCATGACGCCGCAAATCCTTTTCTGGCGTCAAAGCTTCCTATTCACACATCTGGATCCATGCCCTTTCCAGATTGATCTCCTTCTTCTTATCAAGCTCCCGTTGCTCGATGTCCATCTCTTGCATCATTGCACGAAGGAATTTGCGAGGTGCACCTTCCTTTCCACAATTGAACCTTGTACTCTGAACAGACAATCTTCAACTCTTGAACAAACCAGTTAGAAATTTCCAACAATGTTCAAGCACCGACGAACGCTATATGCATACTATCTTCGAAAGAGTAAAGTCATCCTGCACGTAATGAAGTCCAACTGTATTACCGAGCACTGTAGTGGGCGAAACATCTTCGCCAGCATTTGTGATATTATTGGAGATAGCGAAACTAAGAGATTATGAGAAGATTTATCATAATGAATTATTATGCATCAAGTGAATATTACATTTAATCTCACGCTTAATGATGAGAATGAGTCAACCAGTGCATCTAACCAAGTTCTATATATAATACTAATTATTTGGCGCTGCAATATCCTTATAAATAGAAGCGTGATAAGATAATATTGTGAGTGATTGCCTTCAACGGAACAAATAATAATCTGTGGAGAGATGCTTTACTTTAAGATAATACTACACAAAATATAAGTTTGATGGCGAAGAAATTTCAATCGGCAAAGAAAGTACACAAAATTATAGCCTGTAACTAAGTAACTAATTTGAACAAGATATGTAGAATAAAAGACTTGATGAGGAAGTAGTTTTTTTGGCAGGAAAAGTACGCACAATTATAATTCCGTCACAAGGAGTATGGAGGACCAGGTAAGGTTGAACCAAATGTCTGCAGGTTAAGGACGTTTTTGTCTCATTACAGCAGAACTTACACATGTTCTGTCTGAGTGTTGTAACCTTTACACACGTGAGGGCTCAGTAAATTTTCCTGAGTACAGTATGTATTTTAAGCTTATGTACCTATGGGCATTCATAAACGGGTTTGGTCAAGTACTGAAGAGGTAGATACTTATCTCATTACCGAATAAGATGCACTCGTAATAGTTAGTGGCTTGAATTAATCACATCAACCCTTGTACAATGATCGATTTTCATTTATCAATGCAAGCGTAACAAGCTCAACCTGTGTCATAGATAAAACAGAGCTAAAAATAGTGGGAAAAAAAGTCGGATAATCGTAGGTTTTTACTCATAGTTCAAAGGTGTGTCGTCATCATATGGATCAAGAAAATACAATGAAATAACTTCAACGATAATCATATAATGGAAACTACTGGACTTGGAGACATCGTTGCTGATTTGAGGTTATTATCATAAATTGAAGATCAAAATATAAATATTTATGGAAAAATTTAGTTACATGTTTAGGTACACCTTCCGACAGATCATCTTGCCGCATACATTGTATCACATATATTATATATTTTTCCATCTCATCAGCGCGCGTAAATTGATATTAGCTGTATGGGGTTTTTGGCAATAGTGTTTTTGTTGTCAAATCTCAACCATGAAGAGATGATAAGATGAGTCATTTCAAGGCGGTTGATATGACATCCATATATGAGATCATGGTGATTGTGGGCTCATTGTAGGGCTGTGAAGAGTCCACGGTGTAGTGTGACAAAACTATGATCAGAGGATGATGACATACAACATCTTCGAGTTTATTAATATAATAAAGGTAGAATAAAAGCTTCAAAGACAAAATGCCATAGACGAAGTAGTAAAGCGTCAAAATTGGAAAGGCCAATACAAATTGACAAATACAAAGTTAACAAGTGTCAAAGTGTGAAATTCAAGGTAATAAAAGCACCAATGCATCAAAGTCAAATGAAAAAAAAGCTGAAATGCCTAATGCAAAAGTTGACCGAATTATTGGAATAAAAGAAATCCAATAATGAAAACTGGAAAAATTATATAAATTTCAAGAATTCAAAACGGGAAGAGGTCAAAAAGTCCTGAAAAGAGTAGTTTAGTGGTGGAAACAATAACGAGGGTACAAAATATTTAGAGTTGATAAAACAATTCTCAACTGAGATGACGGCGACAAGAATGGTGAGAAGACTAGTTAGACAATGATGTAAAAATCTGGAAAGAGCATTCAAGGTTTTTTGAACTTTAGCCAACTGAGAGTATACGAAATTGATGAAGTGGTCTAAACATCGTTGGGAAGATTTGGATGGAACATTGAAAAATAAGAATTAAAGGTTTTTTGAAGTTTAACTGATAAGAGTGAACAAAACTGTTGGAGTGCTTTCAAAGTTGTTGGAAAGATCTGGAAAGCATGAAAAAAACAGATTCTGATTTGTTTGAAGTTTAAATTACGAGAATGAACAAAATCGTTGGAGTGTTTTTTAATTTATTCGAAAAATCTGGAAGGATTATAAAATTATTATTTTCATTGCTGTTTTAAATTAAGGCGAGTAGAGTGCGCGAAACTGTTGGAGTGTTGTGAAACTGCGAAAGTGTAGAAAGAGCAAGTAGAATTTGTATTCAAGTTGTTTGTGAAATCTAGCCGAGTGGAAAGAACTGTTGTAGTGGAATAAACGGCTGAAATTTTAATAAATATGTTCAATATGTATATGAATGCGGAGTAGAGTAGAGAATGTCATCTCATACAAAGATAAGCAAAGAGGATTACGTCGGGAAAAATCTACCCAAGGTGGTCAGATTCCGAAGAGACGCCTTTTCTGGAAGATGCAATGTCTTCAGGAGCTGACCACCTTGTTTGGCTATTAACCTTGACATTGAAAGCTTTGAAGGCATGCGGCCCTTCCGTAGTGAAGGACTACTGTTATGAATTTCATGGAGACATTGATAACAGGAGGTTTTCATTACGACCTCTTGTTATGAATTTCTCTAATGTAGTTTCCATGAGAGAAAAAAAAAATTCTTTCTGCAGATTGATGATTGAACTCTGCTGCATCATCACGGTTGTATACATAATACATTCTACCTTCATGGTAGCATGTATTATTGCTACAACCATGATGCAGGAATCATTAAAGTGATAAAGAATCTCATGAGTACTGGCCTACTTGATGAACACCGGCCGTTTCCTCTCATACTGTTGTTACGCTCTTTCCAAATGCCATTCCAAACTTCATCTCATACAAAGATAAGCATCACGAATCACGTCAAGAGCATCTTGAACTCTTGATGTAAAGCCTCTAATGAATATTAGAAATAAAAAACTTTTTGATGCTTTCTAAGTGGAGTAATGAGTGAAATTAATTCAATGGAAACTAAGAATCAGATAGTTCAAGGTAATTTGTTTGGAAAATGAAATACCAAAATTAAAAAGTAGCATGAAAGTAGTAGTTTAATAAAGAAAAAAAATTACAAAAATAAAAATAAATAAATGAACTTAGGTTTGTCACATAATCCTCACTCAGAATACTATGGCTTCAACATGTCTGACCGCCTTCTTAGCAAGTATCGAGTAGCATTCTGCTAATTGATGAAAAACTTAGCATTAGGAATGCAAAAAGATTTATAATCTGTTTGATTATAATCCGTTTGTGATTCCATCAAATGTCCCGTTCCTTCACTGCACCTGCTTTTTGGGTTAGACCATCAACTCCCATCTACACGACGATGACAAAATCAGAGTTTGGATGGTACGCGGTACACAGCCTCAATTCAATGCTTACATTTTCTAAAATAAATAAGCTTCATAATCATTTGGGCAGTAAGAAGACTTGTAACTTAAAAATGTGAAAGAAGGATTAAAAGAAAATGTTCAATGCAGAATGAACTTAATTGAGACTCAGGCCACAATATGTCTTAGTCAAGCTATGACTCAAACATCTTCTATCAAGATGAGAACTGTTGCACTCTAATGTTTAATATCTCACCTTACGGGTCCGGATGCTGAGGGTTTTTTCTCTCTTTGAAAAACTCCCAAGTGTTGGGTTAGGTGATGACAAGATTGGTGCTCCACCGTCAGTGGGATCACGTTTAGTCACCCCCATGAAGTTCTTTTGCTGGTTGGGCTGTGACTCAGAACGGACCTTAGACCATGTATATGGTTCATGACGTCTGACAAATTTCTTTTCGATGTAGTGGTTGTCTCGGCTTCTGATCAGTTCTCTTCCATTCAAGGTTTTCAGCGGATTGATTTCACCATCACGTACTGCTCCACCACGCAACATGTTCGCTTTTGCATTTGCGTATCTCCAGCGCCCATCATGACCGACATCTGCTGTTGTTTCTCCAGAATTCTGATGGTTCATCTTCAAAGGCAATCCTTTGCCTTTCCTTGTCGCCAATCTAGCGGATCCTCTATGATCAGCAGTACCAACCATCCTCAGTTTCTTCAACGAATCAGCCATGGTGCTCCAAGCCTCTTCACGCATAGTAGATTCACACGAACTGAAATCATCATTCTCCTTGATTTCACTGAGAATTGTCGAATTGCTACCGACAGATTCTTCCAGTTCTGCATCTGCATCCATGCTCACCTTAACAAAGAGCAACTTCAGTGCGTAGTTAAGAATCTCTCCTAACTGGGAATCGCTGTGCTCTAATGGATTCTATACAAAAGGCAAATTGAAGCTGTATTGGCGTGGGCGGTGCTATATAACAACAAATTGGAGAACGTTTCAATATTCTTGAACTTCATGGTTCCTAGAACGGCAATGTTCCCAACGTGTTCAGGACAAACTTTCAAAATGAGAATGGTGGAGATCGACTTTGCGTTTTCTCCGCAAATTCGGTTTGCGACCCCGGAGAAAGACGGGTGTGATTTGATGGCCATTTCAGAGAAAAATAATGTTTCTTCGTCCGACTGGTGTCCAAATATATGGGACAACTGCTCGATCAACACGATATAAACAAGAACGATCACTTTTCGGGGATGAAATCAGGTTTGCGGATGAATCACGAATACGATACGCGGTACGGAATCGTGATTGTTCCATTTGCGGAACGCGTTCCAACCGTGACTCTCGTGCAGAAGTTTGGTAACGGTAGTGAGCCGACGTCTCTCTGCAGAAAGCGGCCCGCGGACGACGTGAGGCCAAAGTGTGAAAAATGTAACAACTAACCTTGTGAGGAGGATGTTTTTGTAGATAGAAAAATTGTCATAAATTTTTTTTCAAAAAAAGAACTATTTCATAGATTAGTGATAGGGAAATTCAAGTTTGTATCGTCTGGACTCCCGACTATGTTTCCATATTAACCTAGATAGCAGTTTAGAATTTTTTCCCCAGTCGTGGAAAGTTCTCGAAGAACAAACATGGTGGCGAAGCCAAGTACGTCTTGAGTGCTAGAGTCAATCAGCAGATGTAGATATATATTGATGTTTACCGCTGTAGAGTGAGAGGTAGTTTTGAGAAGATTCTAGTTCCGGTAGCCTTCTACGACGGATGAGAATTGGCGAACTGACATTGAGTTTCGAAGCGGAATCAAAGAGTTAGGTTTTACAACTTCAAAAAATTTTGAATAACTCTGGTGTAACGAATTTAACTTATAGTTGCAATTATTATATTTTTTTATTCACAAAAAATAACCTTGTGCTTGAGGTCTATTGAATAGAAAATGGATTCAAAAAAGAAGTATATTAGAGTGAAAATATTTTTGTGCAAATACACATCGTTATACGATAGATATTGTTGAAATACATACACACAAAGCATAGAAGAGAGTATATACAAATATAAGTGTACTACATTTGAAAATTTGTGAAAGACATATTGTCATAAAACACAAAATGTAACATCATAAACAATTGATGATGATAAACAATCCCATTCCACTACTAGGAGAATGCAGGCCGATGCTAATGGGAATCCTAATATCTGAGTGCTACTCACGATTGAACTATCTCCCAACGCTGAAGTCTCAATTTGAAGAACTAACCATTCTTTGAACGGCACCATATGATTCACCCCTCACATATAACTCATGAAACCACATCCAACTAAATATGTAGTTCCATCGCACACTATATACCTTGACAAATCTACGTATGCTCATGACAGTTGTTTTGGGAATATACATCATCATACAACATACATCGCTGACATACCATACATACATGCATACAAATTCATCCCCATAACTGACGATCATGTACCTCTAATTCCCAGGTTACTCTATTTGCAATTATATACTATACACCTTCATGGATGCGTAAACTAGTAGACCGGATGCTATGTCGTGCCATCGTAAATCGCGTATCTGCAATTCATAACATGTGAAGATCAAGTCATCCATCACTCCAAAGTACATAAAATACAAACCCATTGTCCGACCAGAATAACATAAATAGGTGGTATCAAGCACGACATGTGCCATCCCCTATGCTAAAGCAGCATAGGGGATGACACATGTTCGCACGAAGATACTCTAGCCCGATTCTTTGTGGAGTATAGGCAACCTAACTTGTTATCATCCCAATAAGATTTTCACAATCTATTGGTCATTACTCTAGTTTCACAGTGAGAAAAATTCGGATAGATTGATCGGTGATGAAGTCTAACCGCACTATTGACATCACACATGAGTAAAATTACTCAAGAAACCAAAATCAAACCCTACATGAGCACGCAACAAAAAGCAGGATTTCAGATGATACAAACACAATGAAACAACTAGTAACGACTCTCCAGTCTACAGAAAACACCCCAGACATCACATCACATAGTGATACTGATTCGATCTCCACTGCCTTCTATCACCTTGGTGATAGATAGCTCTGCCTGCAACTTAACACTTACAAGCGGCAACTCGTCTGCTCTACTTTTCTTGGTTCTCAAATTTTCAGAGCAGATCGTTCATGTATCTATCAAGAATTGAATCAATTCCTAGACCTCAATCCACCCAAATCCTTGAGTTAAACATTTTGCAGTGCTTTTGCACCATAAACATGCGCAAGCTGCAAATACCGTCACGAACAAACTCTAGATAACTCACAGATCGCTAGATGAACTCGCAATCCGTCTCAATGTGATTGTAAATCGGATTTTCAGCTACGCTCCATCCAAATTTCATGCAATTTTCCCACTAGAATCTTGATCAAAATACAAAAATGCTATTCGTCAGAAAAAGTGAAGAAGAATTGTCAAACACAAATCTGAATCTCATTTTCTGGGATTTTTCTCAAAATTTTCAACAAAAACATCTGCTGTCTACACGCGATCGTAGATCAGATTTGAATCTACATTCTCACCAATTTTTGGCAACTCCGATGCTGAAAATTCCAGCTAATTTACCATTTTTCTTGCGGGAAAAAATTCTCCAAAAAAAAAACTGTCAAACGAGAACTAGAATCTTAATTTTTGAGATTTCTTTCAAACCGCTTGATGAAAATAGCTTCTGTTTGCGCTAGATTGTAGATAAGATACCTATTTACCATCTTACTATCTTTTGGCAACTTTGGCACTTGGAATCTTGACTAATTTGCAATTTTTTTTTGCTGGAAAAAACCATATAAGAAAGAATCGTTTAACATAAACCAACTCTCAATTGTTGAGATTTTTCTCAAACCTTTGGACAAAAACGCCTTCTGGTTGCGCACAATTGTGGATAAGAACAATCATCGCACAAAAAACAAGTACACACTTTGTCAGCACTTCTTATGCGGTATTACAACAATAACACTCTTATGTGATGAAAAATATCTTGTCATTGTAATTGAACTTAATGGAAGGGGCCCCCTGAGTAAAGAAATTACTAAAAAAACCACGTTACACTCAGACGTAAATGTGATATATTTTATTTCCGTCACCGGAAGAGCAACACTACTCAATAATTGCAAAAATCTATTTCTACCCTCACTCCTTTCCTGCTGGGGTCACACCTTGCTATCACCAAGGTGTGCTATCTCCCATCTGGAAATAACCACCAAATATTACTCTCAACCTTCTAGACTACGTCTCACAGCTACCCTGTAAGAAAAGTACAGGACTTCTTGTGGTAACCTAGTTTTTCTTTTCTTTCTCGAAATGAGAAGTTTGAGAGATTCGATAGACTAAATACCTTGAAAGATTTGATAGACTAAATACCTCATAACGTTTTCAATTAATAACGACTTGATTTAATTAGAATTTTGATAGATAGAGCTCAGCACGCTCGTTCTAATGAGCCCAAGAACTCTTCAAATAGATAAGGTATCACTGAGTTATGAGTGTTGAAGGTGTCTGATATGGATAGGCAAAGGCGCAGAGGTTCCTTCGGCCGAAGGTACCTCGGATCTCGGCTGTGAGGTACTTCGGACTTTGGTGAGGTACCTCGGACTTCTGAGCAAGGTACTTCAGACCTCAAACCTTGGAAGATACCTTGGATCTCGGACTTCGGAGGGTATACCCTCCGAAGTCCGAGGTAAGGATCTGAGGTACCTCAGATCGGTGAGGTACCTCGGATCTAAAACGTCCGAAGGTACCTCAGACCTCAGACCTCGGAAGTAACCTCAGGCCTCAAACTTCGGACTTTGGACTGCGGAAGGAAACTTCGTCGAAAGTAACCTGAGAACTCAGACCTTAGACTTTGGACTTCGGTGAGGTACTTTGGACTTGGGTGAGGTACTTCGGACGTCGGTGAAGGCCTTCGGCCGTGAGGTATTTTGGCCTTGGAGCACGGATCTTGCAAGGGCCATCTTTTTGCGCTGTCGGTTGGAGCTGAAATTTGGTGGGCTTGTTGGTCTCAGCCGGCCGCACATGGCTGCAAAATTTTAGCCTCACATGTTGGACCTAGAGATGATAGAGAAGCTGGCGGCTCAGTTTAGTGTTAGGGTTAGGTTTAGGGTTAGGTTTTGAGTTAGGGTTAGGATTAGGTTTCGGATTAGAGTTAGGGTTAGATTTTGGTCGTAAGTTAGAGGGAAAGGCAGCCGCCGACTCCGCAGGTGTAGGACTTGTTCGGAGTTCGCATCAGAGTGAGTGATAGTTTAGGGTTAGTTATTCCTAACTTACCCTAAACTATCACTCACTAGGAATAAAGTAGTCCAAGGTGTTGGCCTTGGGGGTCTTTTCTCAATTTAGTTTCTCAGTTGGGACTTCTGTATTCTCTGCGCGTTTTGTGAGTTGAGTGTGTTGTTCATCGCGAAAGAATGATTTAGGTTTGACGAAGGTACCGCATCCGAAGTAGGAGCCCCAATTCAAATGTTTTGAAATAGCGTCTGGCTAGTGACAGGATTTAAGCAAATTCGTAATTGGCCGCTAGCTACAGGTACTCTGAGTGTACTTCTTGGGAAATTCCCCCCCTGAATCTTAAGTTGAGGTCCTGTTCGACCTCTGAGTTTTCTAATTACTTGTTTCAGGTGTGTTTGTGTGTATTACGCTGCTTTGTGTGTACTCCGAGTGACCTCCGAGTCGAACCTTGCAGTACTTCTGGGAGTGACAGTAGCTTGAGATTTCAAACTCTTCAATAGACTGTTAAGAACGTGACAATTGATACTATTTGTGTTGTTTTTGTCCTCGTGGGATCAGATCTTTACCATTATGCTCCATTTTGGTATTTATCTGTCATTACACTTCTCAGAAGTACTCAAGGGGAGCTGGCTGCTAGAAATCTACATGCGTCACACGAGGAAA